TCTGCAAAACAAAGGAAACAACAATGTGAGGAAAGAACCTACAGAATGGGAGAAAATCTCTGACAGCTTTTTTCCTGATAGAGGATTAATATCTAGAATTTATTAAGAGTCAAAAAACTACACACCAAAAAAATAAATAACCCACTCAATAAATGAACAAATGAACTAAACACTTTTCACAAGAAGATGGCCAAAAATATATGAAAAAATGTTCAATATCTTTAGTCAGCAGGGAAATGGAAATCAAACTACACTGAGATTTCATCTTGCTCTAGTTAGATGTCAATCATCAAGAATACAAATAACAATGCTAACACGAATACAGAGGAAATAAACATTTTTACACAGTTGATGTAAAAATGAAAAATCAATGTGGAGATTCCTCAAAAGACCAGGAGTGAACCACAATATGATCTAGCTATACCACTCCTCAGTATTTACCCAAAAGAACTTAAGTCAACATACTGTAGAGATACAAGCATACCCATGTTTGAAGCAGTACAATTCACAACAGCCAAAGTATGAAACCAGCCTAGGTGTTCATCAAAGGATGAATAGATAAAGAAAAATGTGATATATAAACACAATGGAGTCTTACTTAGCCATAAAAACTAAATTATGTCATTTGTAAAAAAATAAAATAAAATAAAATGGATGAAACTAAGAGGATCATGTTAAACAAAACAAGCCAGACTCAGAAAGATAAGGTCATATGTATGTTTTTTGGTCAGAAGGGATCTCGTAAAAATAGAAGGGACACAGTAAAGTAGAGGAAAGGGGTAGGGCAAAGGGAAATAGTGAAAAGTGAAATCATTCAAAGTATTTTACATGCATGTATGAATATACCACAATGAAACCCACATCAACAAAAAATAAAATTATAAACAAAACAATTCCTAAGTTTTCAATTGCTTACTATTCAGAGACATATTATGAAATCCCATGCCATTCCATTCTGTCCTGCCCAGGATGCAAATCATCCCTTTGTTCAGAGTACTCACCTACCTATTAGTCACTCAGTAGCTATCTCCACTACCAAATTGAGTTGTCTCAATAGTCTAGTAATTCTTATTTTATCTTAACAATGACCCTAAAGGACAAGAGTAGTGATGCTGCGCCAGACATATCTGTAATCAATGATCCATAATCAACTCAGGGGGCTGAGGCAGGAAGATTGCAAGTTTGAGGACAGCCTCAGTAATTTCACAAGACTCTTGTCTAAAAATTAATATACGTATAAAGGACTGGGAATGTAGCGCACTGGGTTCAATCCCCCACACCCACCCCCGAAAAAAGAGTAGTGATGCTAGCGATTCAGGTAGGCCAAGGAGAAGCCTTTAAGTGAAAGATGAAAATACAATAAGATATTTTGAGAGAAAGAGAGCATCAGGCCACATTCATATACCTTTTATTTGAGTTTATTGTTTTTGTTGTGTCATCTTATTAGTTATTGCTACTAACTTCTTACTATGCTTAATTTATAAAGTTTTATAAGTACAAATATATAGGGGAAACATAGTACATATAAGACTTGGTACTATCTGTGGTTTCAGACATCATTGGGAATCTTAGAAGGAAGGGAAGACTCCTGTACCTAGAATCTTTTATCTGAGATTTGGGTCTAATCTGAATAGGATCATGTACCCATGTGTACAGGATAGAAACCCTATTTAGATCACTTGGTTAACACAAAATATACTTTTAAAACAAAAAGTAACTTTTAAAATTACATTAAGTCAGTATTTATAGGACCCAGGCTATATGGCAGGAATCTTCTAGGCACTGAGGCTAGTATTAATGAGACATTAATGACAGATGGGGTTCCTACAGTCATGGAACTTTATATTCTAGTGAGAAGAGGACAAAAAATAAGAAAATTAGCAAGGAGAAAAAGTCGGCAAGTGCTTCCATAAAACATGCCTGGTTTACTGGAAGCAGAAAGGAAATCCTTAGCTCTGTCTTAGAAGACAGTCACCTCCCACTGTCCCTCTCCTCCACTTTCATCCTCTAGAATCCATAAAGCACACAAAATTCACTACCTACTTAGCCTTACATATTGCAGAAATCTCTTTAATTCTACTGTAGAATGGGGGAAAGTATGAGAACAACTCTGGCTAGAAGTAATCATTTATCTTCCTCTTGGGTTTTTACATTGCTTCCAGAGACAATTTTAGATTGCCCTTATGCTTTTCTCCTCTTATCATCATTTATCCTCCTGGAGGTTACTTATTAGTTCTCTAAGTTCCTACCCTTTATCCAACTACCTACTGCTCTTTGGGTATCCTTGCATTACAGTCTCATACATACATACACCCATACATGTGTACATAAACATACTCATATACTCTTTTGTTCTTTGTGACTAACGTCTTACATGTGTCAGAAAGTTAGATAATGCCTGTAATTATCTAATGGGAAGTTGAAGCAGAGGATAAGTTTGAGGCCAGTCTCAGGCCCTAAGCAACTTAGTGAGAGCCTATCTCAAAAGTAAAACTTAAGAAGGGATGAGGAGCTGGGCATAGGGGTACAAGCCTGATCCCAGCAACTTGGAGTTTAAGCCAGTCTCAGCAATTTAGTGAGATACTGTCTCAAAATAAAAAATAAAAAAAAAGCTTAGGATGTGGCTCAGTGGTAAAGTGCCCCTGGGGTTCAATCTCCAATACCCCACCCCCCAAAAATTGGTAATGTTGCTTCCTGTGGAAAACTAAGAGGCTTTCAACCTCACAAGCTTGGTCTCATTAATGAATTAAGGCACATATAACACTTGGCACAATGCTGTTATTAGTCATCACACATACCATGGACTATAAACCCTTAGGTGAATGGAAATTCCTCAGGGAGCTGATGTCATATACAAATCTAAACTTTGTATATATCTGCATTATTCTGGGAAAAGACTTTCAGATTCAATGATTGCTAAATTCTAAAACAAAATTAAGAACACTTGAGAAGCATATCAATTTTATCATTTGCTACCAACTTAGAAATTAACTTGTAAAATTTAATTCAACCCAAAGTTATTAAGCACAACACTGTATCTAAACACATATGCTAGAAACACATTAGTAATAAGCCCAACATGGTCTTTGCCATCAAGCAACCTACTACTAATGACTTTGCTCTTCTCTGTTTTTTGTTTTAATTAATAATCATTGTAACCAATAAAACTATTTTAGGTATCTAAAGAAAAAGAGATTATCTTCTTTAGGATGACCACTTCCAATCCCAAATGTTAACATAGTGTACTCTATTCCAAACCTTTTCCTGTGCTCACATAAATATACATTTATTCATGGTGTTTTATTTTATATTTATTTTTGTTTTTCATAAAAATCATAAGAATCATACAAGATACATTATCCTATATTTTGCTCTTTTCAAGTGTCATGAATACCCTTCCAGATCAAAAGAAATAAAAATCCAATTTTAACTGTTTTATCATATTCTTTAATAAGAATGTAGAAATGTATTCAACCATTCCCCTGGTTGGTGGACACTCAGGCATTAAATTATTTTCTTATTGCAAACAAGACTACTATTAGCATTCTTACATCTTAATCTTTAATGCTTTTATTTATTGGGGTAGATCCCCAAAAGTAGAGGAGCAGATCATGGTTAGATACAAAGTGTATGAGCTACTTCCAGACTGCTTTCAAAGCAACTCACTCTTCTACCAACAATATACATAAAAGACTTTCTTCACAACACTTGATCATTGCTACATTATTATTGCTATGTTGATAAATTTATCAGTACAAAGGGCAAAAATATCTTGTAGCTTTTTAAAAATAAACTTACCTGCCTAAGGTAAAGTTTATATTTCTACTGGGTGGTTTTATATTTTTCTTGTTTATTTGGGAATTTTATTTTTCTTTCTTAAGATAGGATGTCAGAAAGGTAGCAGAATGCAACAGTTACTAGTATGGCATTATGTAAAAATGTGGATGTGTAACCGATGTGATTCTGCAATCTGTATTTGGGGTAAAAATGGGAGTTCATAACTCACTTGAAACTAATGCATGAAATATGATATGTCAAGAGCTTTGTAAGGTTTTGAACAACCAATTAAAAAAAAAAAAGATAGGATGTCACTATGCTGCTTAGACTGGTTAAGATCCTCCAGCCTCGGCTTCCTAAGTAACTGGCATTATATGTGCATGCCCTGCCACATCAGGCATGTTTTAGTCCAATCTATTATAGTTTTGAACTCTGTTGTTGTCTTTTCTCTCCCAACCAATATTATCACTATATCTTTTAGTCTTTCTTAGGAAGATCACTTCCAAACTTAACATTTTTGTGCTCATACTTGTATTTGTTTTACCTGTGATGCTTAAAATCTCTTTTTGTATGAGGTAGAAGCTCTGTGTTTTCTTTCAGAATGCCAATTATGCCAGCATTATTCATTAAATAAGTATTTCCTCATCCATCTCATCCTATGTACTCATATCTATTTCTGGATTCTATCCTACACCAATGCTCTACTTGAGTTTTGTAGAAATTTTCAGTATCCAGTAACAAGCTCCCTCTTCACTTATCTTTTCTTTAACAGTTTTCTTCCTTATGAACTTTAAACACATTTTATCCAGTTATAGGGAGTATGAATACAGACGAATATTTAAACAAATATCATTCCCAGAACATAGTAGGGCTTTCCAATTGTTTTAGTATAATTTTATATCCTCCATAAGATGTTTCCATTTTCTTAATACAGCTTCTGAATATTTTATTAAATTCATTCTAAAATAGTTTTATAATGTCTCACTATATGATATTTTTTCCATTCACATTTATAATTTGTCATTTACCTATATTTCTCATGTCTTATAAATGGCAGATGTAATATCACAAACTCTACCAGCATGTATAGCTATCTTTTAATTTCCATTCCAAATATACTCTATAAATTTTCCTTTCCTTCTTCTTCCAATTTTCTACTAATACTCATACAAATCAATGTATGAACACACATTTTCAGAAATAAAAATTTGTATCCAACATACCTTTTCCTTTTGAAAGGTGACTTTGGCATATCAGCCACAGGGATCATTTGTTCTCCTGGACGTACCCACATAATGGGACCATCATCACTGTCTTTTCGACTCTCTAATTTTAGACTAGATAATGTCCCCCATGGCAGTGTACACTAAAGACAATTATACAGAAATTATTTTTAAAATGTATCTTCAAATATGCATTTAAAAAATAGTTCTCCCTTCACAAAAACACATTCATATACAATTTAAACATCTGAAATACATATCCCTATATATTCATAATTTAACTTCAAAAGTTCAATTTCAAACATACCAAAAGAATAATTACGCTTGGATGGCTCCCTCCCCCTACCATGCCAGGGGTATGATTCAGTATATTCATAATTTGTTATTATTCTTTCGATGAACATATGGGTCATATAATTTTAAATTGGAAAAATGAGCAAGTGCCCATTAGTCACCACATAGACTAAATATCTGCTTTTATAGATGAAGAGACCAAAGCCCTGAAAGTTTATGTGGTTTGCTCAACCCAGGTAGGTCTAGTCAAGGCTAAAACAAAGGTATACAATTTCCCTGGTCATTTTTTCACAATGTCAAACTTCCTACTATGGTTTAGATGTAAGGTGTCCCCCAAAAGCTCATGTGTGAGACAATGAGCTTAGAAAGTTTAGAGGTGAAATGACTGGGTTCTGACAGCTGTAACTAAATCAGTGCATTAATGCTCTGATAGGGATTAACTGGATGGTAACTGTAAGCAGATAGGGTGTGACTGGAGGAGGTTGGTAACTGGGGACATGCCCTTGGGATTTATATTTTGTCCAAAATGAGGGTCAATCTCAATATCTATCTATCTATTTCTATCTCTATCTCTATCTCTCTCTCTCTATATATATATATAGATAGATAGATAGATAGATATAGATATATAAATTTAGAAAAACGCAGGTATATCAACTTTTGAATATAATTTCAGTGCTATTATAGATTGAATAATGAACTCTTATGTCCTAAGGAGATATTGTAGTCAGTTCTCTAGAATTATTTTGTTTATCTGAACTGTTTCCATAAGCTGTGTATGGTAATATACTAAAACACTGTCATTCCTTTATCCTAGACATTTTAATTTAGTAATCATCCTTCCTGCATGTTTTAGTCAGCTTTTTCACTGCTATGACCAAAAGTCCTGACAAGAACAATTAGAGGAGGAAAAGCTTATTCAGGGATGCTAACAGTTTCAGAAGTCTCAGTCCACAGATAGCCAACTCATTCTTTGGGGACATAGCTGAGGCAGCACATGAAGGAGTTACAGGTGACACAGGAAAGCGGCTGGAACATGACCACCAAGAAGCAGAGAAAGAGCTCTGCTCAACAAGAACAAAATGTATACCCCAAAGGCATGCCCTTAGGGACCCATGTCTTCCAGCCACAACCCACTTGCCTACAGTTACCACCCAGTTAATCCCTAAGAGGGGATGAATGCACTAATTAAATTAAAACTCTCATAACCAAATCATTTCACCTCTAAACTTTCTTGCATTGTTTCATACATGAACTTTTGGGGGACACCAAATATCTAAACCATAACACCATACGTCTTAAATTCTTGGTACGTATTCTATAAAGTGGTAATAAACAGATGGAAACTAATTTTCTAAAGTGATTGTAACAGATAGTTATTTTCTGGTTCAACACTCAGCTTTGCCATTACAATTAGGACCTGAGAAGTAAGTTACATATATACACTATACAAGATCGCTATTTTTCATTTCTTCCTTTCCTTCCCTCCAATTTAAATAAAACCAAATTTATATAAGCCTGAAATAGCCATTAATTTGTATCACCTGTAGTATAAAATTAACAACCACAATTTAAATGATTATATTATTTTCCCTTACTTTTAAAAATGGTGAGTCTTCCAACATGTCAAGAAATTCAGGGAAGTAATCTCCCACTTCTTCATCAACTGCTCCCACCAAGCTTATTTGTCGCATTGGGCCAGCTCTGTAAGTACCATGAGAATATGTTCTTTTTACCTGAAGAATATGAATTTAATAACAAGTTACACATAAGATAATGCTTGCTATCAATGTGTAATAATAAATTATACTGTCTCAATGTTAAGAATATATGAAGCAAGAAAAGCAAAACAAAAAGCATTATTAACTAAAACAAATAGTTTATTTAATGTAAACCCTACATTAAACCTAGCTATTTCGTTCTCCAACTATTATTATACATAGCTTATGGAAACAGTTCAGATAAACAAAATAATTCTAGAGAACTGACTATAACATCTCTTTAGGACATAAGAGTTCATTATTCAATCTACAATAGCACTGAAATTATATTCAAAAGTTGATATACCTGCATTTTTCTAAATTTATTGCTCATATGTTATCAGATTTTAAGTTACCATCTGAAAAAGTTACAAAAACCATTACTAGTGGTTTCTATGTCTAAAATGTCACAAAGGATGATCTTCTTATCTAGATCACAACATACTACTTTGTAGCCAGTTTGCATAATGTTAATTCCAATGAAAAACTGCTAGAAATTGAAAATCAAGAATCTCAAGCCCCAAACCTGCCTTTGCCACCTACCAGTTATGTTACCTTCAGACAAATAATTATTTAAGTTCCCTGAGATTTAGTTTACTTAACTGGAATGTTTTGCCTCAGATTTACCCTAACCCTAACCCTACTGAAGAAAAATGTAATAATTATATAAAGCCACCTGTAACAGTGCTAGCAAACTGCTGGCATTCAAACAGGCATTGATATGTGAATTTTCACAAGCATATTTGAATCCTGACAAACCCATGTGTTTTCATATATTAACACTAGTAAATAAGAGTAAAATTAATCATTAGAAAACCAATAGTTATTAACAAATTTAACATTTCTGCCCTTATAAAATTTCTGTGTTTTAAGTGAAACTTTTTTTCATAAAACAAACATTTGAGGGCAGGGGTGGAATATTGGCAATTAAACCCAGGAGTCTTTACCAGAGCCACATCCCTAGCCTTTTTATTTATTTTGAAGCAGCGTCTCCCTAAGTTGCTTAGGGCCTTACTAAGAAGCTGAGGCTAGCCTCAAACTTGAGATCCTTCTGCTTCAGCCTCTTGAGACACCTGAATTATAGGCATGCACCACTGTGCCCAGCTCAAAAACAAATTTGATGTGAAACCCTAATTATCTTCTTCTCCAAATTAATCTTTGTGGCCACTACATTTAAGAGATCAACATGTTCCAGTTTACCAAAGATTAAGCCTATTTTAAAAGTCAAAGTCTTGTATCCCCAGCAAACTGGGATGGTCTACCTTTGTCACATTATGGACACACTGAAAAAGCCTCACAATCACAGCTGTTACAGTAACAATGCCCCAACATTCCTATCTCCAGAAACATGGCAATAAAAAATTAATTTTAATAGAAAATTTTGATAATGATATTAGAGTATTTTATTTTTATCACAGTTGACAATGCAGTATAATAATAATTACATTAATGTCTCAAAAAGTTTACTAATAAGGAGGAGAGAGGTGAGGAGGGAAGGGAAAAGAAAACAAAAATGAAATCAAACAACTTATATTATAAAACACAAAATTTCCAAGGTTTTGAAATATAACACTTGACTTTTAAAAGGCAACTTAAGAAGGTAATAGTTCCACTTCACACAAATAAACTGTTTATCAACTTCCTTATCTTCTTATTTAAATCAAATATCTCATCTAAGTCACTAATTCAAAGAAAGCCAGAATCAAATAAACCATTGTCACTCAAGTAGCTACTTATCACAGTATCAACAATGATCAATTAAATTATGTGAGCACTTTATCATGGGTGGGAGTGGGTAGCCTTGAGAATTTTTAGTGAGTGAATTCTTCTAAAATGCTAAACACAATTCAATTTACAAGCTCTCTAAAAAAACAGCTTTAAACACACCTTTAAAGTAAAACCAAATGGACTGTTATCAACTGGTCCTCTCTTCCAAGGGAGTATATATAGCAATTCAATACATGCAAACAACATGTACTGAACAACAAAGAAAGAATGCTCTCCGATGTGAATGTTAGAAGAAATTTAGGGGTCAAAGATAATCCTCTTTAGAGGATTATCTTTGACCCCTAATGAAACAAGTCTGAAATCAGAACAGTCAATGTATCTAGTATGTATAATGAGGTTATACATGAAATAATTCATTTCTCAAATAACTGACACAGTTGCATTCTACCCTAGGTATTGTCATGCAATTAAGATAACTATTTCTATTCTACCAAAAATATGCCATTATGAAACCATAGAAAAATAGGGGAGAAGCAAAATTAATAATCAGAAAACCAAAACTACTTATCAACAAATTTAATAGTCAGCCTTATTAAAAGTAAAATTTCTGTGTTTTAAATACAAGAATATGTATCATTAAGTAACATAAAATAATTGGTAAAACACCTTGGGTGATAACAATATAAATGCAGGTGGAATGAAATGAACATCATAACCCTAAGTACATGTATGAAGACACAAGTGGTGTGACTCTACTTTGTGAAAAACCAGAGACGTGAAAAATTGTGCTCTATATATGTACTATGAGTTGAAATGCATTCTGCTGTCATGTAAAACAAAATAAATAAATTTAAATATATATAAATTATATGTTCTGTCATAACTCAAGTGCTTTTACTAACTTTGATTTAATCAGATGTTCCTATTTGAAGTTAGAAGAGTTGTTTTATTACTCAGGAGACAGGGCAGAAGTGGGTCCCAAGTTTGAGGCCAGCCTTATCATTTGACAAGACTCTGTCTCAAAATAAAAAATTAAAAAGGAGCTAAGAATGTGGCTCAGCAGTAGAGTGCCCCTAGGTTCAATCCCTAGTACCACAAAAAATAAAAAGAATGATTGTTTCATTGATCAAAGGTACATAATGGACCTAGCCATCTCATTTCATTCAAATTTTACACTTACATTAATATCCTCTCAAATTTACAAATGTTCCTTAAAAAAATACAATGAGTGCTGGGGTTGTGGCTCAATGGTAGAGCACTTGCCTAAGCATGTGTGAGGCACTAGATTCGATCCTCAGCACCACATATAAATAAATGAGTAAAATAAAGGTCCATCAACAATTTCAAAAAATATCTTTAAAAATACAATGAGGGGGGCTGTGGCTGTGGCTCAAGTGGTAGCTCGCTTGCCTGTCATGCATGCGGCCAGGGTTCGATCCTCAGCACCACATACAAACAAAGATGTTGTGTCCACCAAAAATTAAAAAATAAATATTAAAATTCTCTCTCTCTTTCTCTAAAAAAAAAAAAATACGAGGGGCTGGGGATATAGCTCAGTTGGCAGAGTGCTTGCCTCACATGCATAAGGTCCTGGGTTCAATCCCCACCACCCAAAATAAATAAATAAATAAAATACATATCTAAATTAGTATAGACCTAAACACTAAAAACTTTAACAGACTGAATAAAGTAGAACTTATTTTCCCCCTATCCTATGTTCAGTTTGGGACCATTTAAAAAGAAACTTTTTTTTTTTTTAAGGGGGGGGGGTTTTTTATTTTTTTTTTTTTTTTTAGTTTTCAGCAGACACACATCTTTGTTTGTATGTGGTGCTGAGGATCGAACTCGGGCCACACACATGCCAGGCGAGCACGCTACCACTTGAGCCATATCCCCAGCCCAAGAAACTAATTTTTGAGGCTTTTAAAATATGGTCTTCTTCAAATTCATAAATATTCCAAAGGATTTTGGGGAAAGCCTAAATTTTAAAAATAAAATAATGCAGATTTTATGAGAATTATATTCAGAAATATCCTAATAGAATTTTGGGGGTTAATTTTTTCCTAACTCATGGCAAATACATACATATTTATATACAAAGTTCACATGCACACTTAATGGTAGGTCTCTCTCCATCTTAACCAAATGTGTTAAAACTGTAAAGTAGATCCTTGTTACCCACGATTGAAACCCAAGGTAAAATCTTCTTAGGGAATTCCAAGGAAAAAAACTGCATTCTTAGCTATCATGTTTAAAACAAAATAGTAATTTTCTTTCAAGACATTTATTCTCCAAGTATTATACTCTAATAAACCAACTAGATAGGTACAAATATATTTAAATTTTAAAATAAATTTGAGGCTGAGGCAGAAGATTACAGTTTGAGGTCAGTCTGGGCAACTTAGCAAAGACCATGTCTCAAAATAAACATTTTTAAAAGGGCTGGAAGTATAGCTTCAGAGGTAGAACATTCCTGAGTTCAACAACTAGTGCAAAAATTCTAAATTTAAAAATTATATTAAAAAAGAAACACACCAGATTATAAAAACTATACATATGGATCCTCTTATTAATTTAAGTATACATCTCTCAAAAAGAAACAGAAGACAGGCATGATACACTTGATGTATTTTTGCAAAAGCTTATATTTAAACAGTGCCTTTTAGAAAAGATGTAACATTTTTGTAGGGGCTACCAGGGATTGAACCAGGGTACTTAACCACCAGCCACATCCCCAGCTCTTTTTTTATGTTTTATTTTGAGATAAGGCCTCACTAAATTGCTAAGGCTGGCCTTGAATTTAAAATCCTCCAGCCTCAGCCTTCTGAACTGCTGGGATTTCAGACATGTGCCATCAAACCCAGAAAGATATAACATTTTTAATCTAAATCTTCCTATAGTCTATCCCACACCACCCAAAAATAAAAACTGCTACAAAAACAGCTGCATTTTCAATTTTCTTTTCTATAATCTCTACAAATGTTACAAAAGATAGAAAAAGCAAGTAGGAGGCTTCTTGTATCCATTGCCAGTAAGTATCAATAACAAAATCTCATGAATTTAGTTAACAAAAAATGAATTAAATTATATTTAAACTAAAATTCTATTCATCATTCCTCACATAAAGTAATCTTTAAATTAAAAAGCAATCTTTACCTGGGCATGGTGGCACACGCCTGCAATTCAAGCTACTCAGGAGGCTGAGGCAGGATTGCAAATTCAAGGCCAGCCTAGGCAACTTAGCAAGA